TGAATATTTGTTTATTTATGCATACAGAACTGGGGTACAAGCCAGAAGTGCAGGGGCGGTGAGAGGATTCACCAGAGACAGAGTGGAGAGAACAGGCAGACTGATGAAGTACACTGCTGAGGAGAGCAGCAGGAGAGACAGGAGACGTGTGCCGCACCATGTGGGTCACCTCCTTGGCCGGGGATCAAACTCATGCTGAAGTGGCTGTGGCCAGCTTTGCAGCACTGTGCCTTAATGAGCAACCAGGCAGGGCCCACAAATATATTTTTTATGTCTAATTATTTTTGTTGTTGTTGTTGTTTTACCATCAGAACAGATTGTCATAATTGTGGAGCTTAACACACGTATTATTTCACAGTTCTGCAGCTCAGAAGTCTGGGCTGACTTGCTTTGTTTCTCTGTTCAAGGCTAACAAGGCTGAAACAACTGGCTGAAATCTTGTAAGGATGCCCTGGGAAGATTGCACTTTCAAGCTCCTTTGGTGGGCAAGCTCTGATTCCTTTGTATGCAGGAATGAGGCTCACATTTGCTGTGTATTTTACTCAATAACCTGGATCTGTTACTCTGGGGCTAGAAATATGCACCAGCTGCTTTTCTTCAGCTACTCAGTCAGCCCCGTCACCACTCTTGCTAGCCCTCATCCTGAATGGCTCATATCTCTGCATCTTACATTTTACTCCTCACCCTGAGTTACAGCTTTAGCATTTCCTAGCCTCTCTATTGGGATAACTTCCCAATTGGCCTGTTTCTGTTTTCTTCCCTATCCATATAATGTTCCAGAGATGATAGGATCCAACCTGAACTTGAAGAAAATCTCCCCAAGTTCCCGCTGTCTCCAGAATGGCATTCCAGCACCTTAGGATGGCAGATATCCCATTATATGACCCAACCTGCCTTCCAACCTCATTTTCCATTACAGTCCATCATGGAGGTGTTGGGACGTTGGGAGCTGAACATGGCTGTCCCAACACCCCATGGACCAGGCTCTGAGAATAGCAGATAAACTAGTGTTGCCACAGTAAAGGGTTTCTGCAACACTGCAGATAGGGCTTAAATGTTGGGTGTAATTGTTCGAAAATCTTGCTTTCCCACCTTCAACATTCAATTGATCATGAAATCCAGGCAGGCCCTTCTGCCACCTACACATTGACCTCCCCTGGCTGCTGCTCATGCCACTACCTGGCACACTGTTTGTGGTCTCTCTACTGGACTGTTGCCAACCTGTCTCATCCCATTCCCTCTCTACTTACAACCAGTCATCATGTAACTTCAAGGTATCTTTCCTTTTTAATACTATATTGTTATACACACACACACACGCATATGTATTTACATCATTATTCATTTTGTACATGTTTTCATCCTGGTTGTGATCCCCATGGACTTCCCACCACCACCACCACTTCACCCATGTACTATCACCCTACTCCTGTGCTCTCCTCCCACCCCAGTTTTGATCCTGTTCCCCTCCCCTCCTCCGTAGAATGTCTCTGGCTTATAGTTGTTAGTTGATGTTTGTTTTTACTTGATTACAATTACTTGATAAATTCGTGCCATTTGCAGCAACATGGATGGAGCTGGAAGGGGGTCATGCTTAGTGAAATAAGCCAGAAAGACAAAAATGCCAGATGGTTTCACTCATAGTAGGAGTATAAGGGATCAGAAAAAACAACAACAACAACAACAACAAAAAAAAAACCTTCAAGGTATCCTTCTAATTCAGAGTCTGACTTTGCTCTTTGGTCTTCAGAACCTCCACTTGTCCCCTGTTTGTCCCCCCCCCCCACCTCTTACAGACTGTTAACTTACAGATGAAGTCATTTACTTGAGCCCTAGGCCAGACTGCTTGGGTAGGAGCCAGTCCCTACTACTTTTCAACTGTGTGATATGGAGTGTACTATTTTTCTTTAAGGCTCGGTTTCCTCATCTGTAGAGCATGGTTAAAAATGTTTACACAGGGCTCTCCTTGGTGGTGCAACGGGTTAAAACACCACATTATGAAGCTCTCCGAAGCCATTTCAGCATGAATTCGATCCCCTGCCCAGGACCTGACCTATGTGTCACAGCAGACCTCTCCTGACCTGCCTGCTGCTCCCCTCAGCAGTGTACTTCGTAGATCTGCCTGTTCTGCTCCCCACTCTGTCTCTGGTGAATCTTCTCACCCATCCCACCTCTTGCCTGTACCCCCGTTCTGTAGCATAAATAAATATTTAAAAAATGTTTACACAGGGTTGCTGTGTGGATAAAAATATATTAAGTGTAAACAACAATTAGCAAATACCTAGTACACAGTATATATTCAACTAATAGTGGCCAGTTTATAATCCTTTTAAAATGCTAGATTTGGGTAGGGCTCTGTAAGTAACTGCCTATATTTTACTTAATTAGGGGTTTTGGAGAGTTAATTATTTGGCTAACTAACTGAATTTCAATGATCTCTCATTTTCCTTGGATTAGGCAACTAAGAATTGTAACTGGTGAATGGTTCTTTGAAGAAAAGGCAAAACGTTTCAAGCAAGTCAATGTTCTAGGCACTGATGTTGTCCGACAGTCCATTTTAAGAAGAAGTACAGGTAATTAAGGCAATTATTGGTTTCAAACTGCTTTCATCCTCATTTGGGCGAGCTAAATAACTTCCCTGTAATATGTAGCAGATGAGCACATTTGAATTTCCTAAATCTCTTAGGTCATTTCAAAAGCATGAAATCTCAAGTCTGCATTTCATACAAAGGGAGAGGAAGTCAGTAAAATCCATGGTAATTTTTTATTTATCTGACATAGAGATTTTCAAAGGAGGCATTTATCTTCATTACTGGCAGTTCTTTTCCTGAATGCACTTGCAGTATTTTACTAAACAATTAAGAAAATAACATAAAACAGGTGAATTCAGTGAGTCACATTATAAAAGCCAATCTTTATTTTTTTTCCCCAATAGGATTTATTTCAGATTTCTTTTCAACATCATTACTTTTTCTAATCCAGTGGTTCCTAGCCAAGGGTAGATACTATGTGCTTGGTCTTCCGTCCTCCTCTAAGCCAGGGGTATATATATATATATATATAAGGGATTGGGTTCATTTGTGATTATCCCAATGACTTGGGTGTGTTTGAGGGATGGGGGTAATTAACCACATTTAATGGGCAGGAATCAGAGATGCAAATTGGCCTGAAATTCACAGGACAGTTTCTCTCAATGAGGAATTATTCTGGCAATACATACAAACAATAGCCATCTTAAGAATGCTGCTCTGTGCATTGAGACTACAATTTAATTGGTTGCTTACTGAATGAAATATATTTGGGGCCATGCTTCGCATGCCTGGTGTAGGAAAGGTGGAGGGAGCATCTTGTGCCCTATTTTTAGACTACTTTGTCTTTCGTACACTGGAGACAAATGTCCTTGCATTTTAGTGTAATAGGTATGGCTGGGAGCCTTGGAACTAACTCCAGTGCCACCAGGATTGACACTGCAGAGTGGCAGAGTGGGGTAGAGTTAGAATTAAGTAGTTCCTGCACTTAAACCAGCACCTTCCAGAATGTCAGCTGACCCTCAAGTCATGAGATGTCTGCAAGACACCTGTCCTCCGAGGAAGTCTGACGTCTATGTTCAGAATTCAGACTATCATTTCTAGAAGCCTATGCTAGAAGCTGGTCTTTAGTAAGTTGGAGTTCATGAACCTGGGCTCGTCTGTTCTTAAAATATTACAGAGGGATGATATATCATTCCTGCTTTGTATCATTCCTAAGAGATGTTATCTCAGCAAACCTTGCACACATGAGTGCTGATGTTAGTCCTCAATGAACTCTGGATCTCTCACCAGATTAGCAATAACTGTGGGGCTGGGAGACTTGGATGGGAACATCGCAGCAAATTATTACAGACTTTTGTCCTGTGTTCATGTAGGGAAGTGAATACAGACTAGAACTTTAGTCTCAATTCTGGCCATTTTTGTATGTAAATTTGTCTTCTGATTGTTTTTAATGAGGAGCTGAAGAAAGCCAAGAGCAAACCCGCCAGGATGCAGCAAAGTCTGACACATCAGCTTCTGTTGGGCAAAAGGCCAGCCATGAGGGGCCCAGGAGGAAGGGGTAAGACACAGCTTTTCCAGAGGAATTTTCATTCTTTCTTCTAAACATCTCTGAAAAAAAGATTGCTTATTTTTCAAGTCTGATGTCAGTTCTGTGACCCAGAGGAGGTCAGATACTGAAGTGAGGTTAACACAATGCTATTATTGTCCTCAGAAAGTGTGATTTTAATTATTTTCAGGCCTAGATAAATCAAGTTCTCTTCTGACCTGAGCATGTAAAAGTTTATTTATTTCATTTGCATATCTGCTCTTGCAGCAAAGTGTTCCTATTACTTCTAGGTGGAAGGTTCCATATCAGAGCCAGTCTTGTTTATAAAGAGGTGACAAATGCCTTTGTTGAAGAATTTTAACCCCTCACACACTCCCCCTACCCAATGCTGACACATGAAATAGCCAAGTCAACAATTTACTGATTGGGTTTAACACAGTGTATCTCCTGTTTGAAATGTGGGCTTCTTTATGGTTCCAAAAAGGGGCACATTTAGCCACCTTATTTAATTCAGAAAGCAAATTTTTGTGTCAAGTATTGAGATTAGAAATGACACATGGGGAGAGAAGACTCCAGGAAGCCTTGCTAATCTGGAGGCAGAAAGTTCTCATTAAGGGAAAAAAGTGACTCCCAAAATTCAGGCTGTAAGAACCAGAGGTGAGTGATCACTTTGCAGCCCTGCACTTTACAGTCTTCATTTTTCAGCAGCTGCTGGCTGGTTTGTGGCTGAGGTGGGGAGAGTCCACGTACGCATCAAGCCATATCACGTTCCTTTCCTGGTAGTGCTGCTCTGTGTTCTCTGCAGAGATCCTTGGTGAGATCACCAGCAGCTGAGTCTTCATCTGGCTGCACAGAAAGTCTGCATATTTATTTATTGTTTGTTTTTAATCTTGATCTCTGAATGCCAACTAAACCTAAAAGCCATCTAACTCTAAGTCTCCTGATTAATCCTGTCTCGGTTAGTTAGCAGACATGCTTGGTGAAGATAACCCAGAGTGACCATTCTTCCATGTTTAATCTGGTTATTGTGTTTCAGGGCTCCCACAATACCTTGCACCATGCATCACTGGCATCTTTGTACTTTGACACCACTGCCACCCAGCACACTCACTTAATCGTAAGCTCCTGCATTGTGGAACGGTAGCTCTTTTGTTCGTGTGCTATACCATCCAGCGTGGCACGTGGGCTCAGCAGACACAGTCGATGGCCTGTTTCAACAAGAAACTTAGAACCCAGATGTGTTCTAGCAGATGTAATTGGTAGACTGCAGTCCAGGCATCACAGTGTAGGTTATAGAATGGCACTGTCAGGTTACAGACTTGGAACTGGGAGACAGCGATTTGTGGGCTCAATTAAGTGTATGACCCTGAGCAGGCCATTCAGTCACTTAACAAGCCCTGTTGGAACTCCACACTGGTATCTGATGGTTCTTTGTCTTCAAGAAACACAGTGCCAAGGTGGGGAGGAAGGATACACATCTGCAAAGTAACTATGTACAAGAGAATTGTTGGAAAATATAAGATGGCAGTAGGCGTTGTCTGAAGCCTTCCAAAAAGAAAGTAGGTGTTAATTTATGACAAGCCGTGTCATAAAGCAAAAAAGAATGAAGTACTAAGTGAGTGACTATGTGATGTTGGGAAGGTGTAGGGCTTGTCTTGAAAGATGTTGAATTTTATAAGTGGGACTTGATGGGGATCTTGAAAGATAGGCAAGGTCCAGGCTAGCCAAAGCAGGGAAGAGGGATTCCAGGTGGAGGAGACACCTTCAGTGCAAGCGCAGAGATGGAGACCTGTATCAGTGCTTCCTTGCGCAGCACAGACCGACATTATGTTAAGTGTTATTCTCACCAAAAATGTAATTTTTTCCCAGTTCAATTGCAGTTTCTGACATTTTCACAAGATAGTCCTCCAAGGGTCTTTGAAACAGAGGCAGCTTGGCAGATTCTATTAATGTTGTCCCAGTCCATTGGAATTTATTTTTCCTCTGAGAAAACTGTAGAATGTTAAATTAATGAACTGGTTTGTTTTCATGCCATCACCAAAAGAATATAGCTTTGCTTCTTTTATTATTCAAATGCATTTAGAAATACCCATGTTTAGGGCATTCAGGAGCTTGGTTCATGACTTGAGCCTTGGTTCTTCAAATGCTATTTGTGCTGAAGTTCCAAATAATTTAGTGAAATGGGAATGGAGTTGTACTTCTTCCCACTGCAGACAGCCCATTGTTTATACTTCATAGCCCAGGGTTACCTGTCATGGGTAGCCTGACTGCTGGGCAGCACTCAAGGTCTGGGCACCGGGAGGAGCGACACAGGTAGAGTTCTTGCTCTCATAGAGCACAGCCTAGTAATTTGTGACCTCATTTTGTCCCAGCGGCTTTAGACAGCCTCCTCCCCTCCCTGAGCAGGATAAATTCAAGCACCCTTTTCTTAGCAACCTTACACACAGGCAGTACATCTCCATTCTTAGGTAACCGTGGTGAGTTGCCTAAGTTAACAGCACATTGTCTGGCCTTGGGAGAGAATGTCCTGGACTCCTCCCTTTACACTACACTGCAGAAGCCCTAGGAAACCCACAGAATCTCAGCCCCAAGGCCACTGTATCAAAGACTCATTTACTGTGAAAAGTACCAGAAACGATAACCTTGAAATGATAAAGTGCTTTCTTTTTTACCTGACTTTGCAATATATATATAATTTCAGATTTCTTCTTAGCAAGTTCAGATCAGCCACCAGAGGAGAAATCATAACTCCGAAACCTGAAAGTGGACGGAGCTACAGTTTGGACTTAGACTGCCAACATGTTCGGAGTTTCAAGTCAGTCTCTGGCTCAGACAGGTAAGGGACTCCGAGGGTCAAGTTGGCATATTTCCAACTGAATAGCACTTCTCTGTAACCTGTAGAGTATTAGCTCTCGGCGAACTAACACATCTTGTGAAAAGCCAGGAGGATGTTTTGTAGTGGAAACAGAAAGCAGATACACTTCTTCTGAAATTGCAGCTTTTGCAATCATCTATGTCACCTGCAGGGATAACATTTTTTATTGGCAATCAAGGCTACAGTAAAAATGAAGAGGCACAGCAAAAATATTTTTTCCCATTGATTTCTTGATCTTTCTGTGTTTAAACTTCTCAAAAAGAAACCCCAGTCTGTCACATACATTCCATGCAGCTTTTTAAAAAGTATTAATTTCATCATTTGAATTGCCAGAAATTCCACAAATTCCATTTCTTTCTCTTTCCACTTCCTCCAACTCATTATCAGGGGCCATATGAGACTGGTCTGGGGCCTGTTAGCACCTTGTGGAGAAGTAGAAGTTGCCAAGAGCATAGTCATTTTGTATCAAGCTTGATTTCCTTTAGCCCACTGGAGCATACGTCAAAGCATGCATATCTTTCTGATTAGTGCATTATCAAAGCTAGAGATGAGAAAAACGATCCAGCCTTGTGTTTCACTGATTTGTGTCAATATGAACACCCTTGTGGTGGCTGTGGCCAGAGCACTTCTGCAAAGTTTGATAGTAAAGCCAGTTGATTTTCTGCCCTCTTTAAGTTCAGCAAACAGGAGTACACTCTCCCCTGAATTCACTTTAGACTATGGAACAGCGAATTCCCCAAATATGCTACTAACTAAATGGGCTTGTTTTCCTGGTGGCTCGCCATACCTGTTCCTTTCAGTGTTCTCCAGACTATCATCACTTTGGCATTACAAAAAAATAAGCTAGCATTCAAGACATCATTTGCCATGTACTGTCAAAAGAGCTTTACCACTTTCCATGTTTTCCCACTTTTCAAGAATATAGGTAGATTTCCTTTATGATAAAAATTACTCATGGTTGCCTCTGTCCTTAAAATAATTTCCTTTGACTTCCCTTGGGGTAACCCCATGTCATGTCCCATAATGCCTTTATATAAAAATTTTGGCTTTGATCGTTGAACTCTGACTCTCAGAAAGTGATCTCTTCTACCCAGAGGTCATAAACTGGCTTAGTGTTGCCACTAAGAAGAGGAACAGAATATATAAAACAAGGGAAGGGGTAGTTCCCAATTAAAAAAAGTCTCCTGGCCCTCCCTGGTGGCGCAGTGGGTTAAAGCACAGCACTGAGAAGCTAAAGCCACTTCCGCATGAGTTCGATTCCCGCCTGCCCCGGAGGAGACCACATGACGTGGCAGACCTCTCCTGACCCGCCCGCTGCTCCCCTCAGCAGTGTACTTCGTCGATCTGCCTGTTCTGCTCCCCACTCTGTCTCTGGTGAAGCCTCTCACCGCCCCTGAGCCTCTGGCCTGTACCCCAGTTCTGTATGTACAAATAAATAAATCTTAAAAAAAAAAAAAAAAGTCTCCTGGTCCTACAAGCAAAATTAGCTTATTTTACCTTAAATTAGATTTGCTTGCTCATCAAGAAAAAAGGGCATGGCCTCTTGTGTCACAGTGCTCATACCAGTTTGCAAGAATCTATCTGCCTGAGTTTGCTGAGTCTTATTGACAGCTCATTATAAATACTCGTAATGCTACAAAGCGCGTGGCCATGTCTTCCCCAATGGTGTATTTACTAGGAATTTCTTATACTTGTAGGTCTCTGAGTAGACTATCTTTTAAACCGTAAATACTGGATGTGGTTTATAGGTAATAAGGATACAGCCAGGCATGGTTTGGCTTCAGCACGCCAAGAACATTGTTTTCCCACTAAAAAAGAGAGTGAAGATTTTGGGAGTTCAGTAGCACGGGACATCTTTCCTTTTCCTGGAACCTGCTTGGACGGTAGAGGCTCGTTAAAATACTGCCCCAGTGGGATGACAATATTATCTCACCTCAAGATCCTTCCTTAGAAAGTTGGGACAGGAGTTAGCCCACCTTAAATCTCATCACCTGAAGTTCATTTCCTTTTGTCTGTTTGGTGCTATGAGCAGTTCTACAAATCCAGTAAGTAAAACTGGTGGGCTTTCTTTTTCTCCTGAAGTTCTGCAAGCAAAATTGCATTTCACCCTGTAATTCATCTGAGCATATGTGGCAGCAAGTTCCCCTCAAGGGATGGCCACATTCCAGTTTCTTTGGTTTCTTACCTAACTGAGCTTAACAATTAATTCTCCTTTTTGCTCCACAATACATGTTTCTTCATGGTTTCATGGTTCTTTCCCTGGAGCAGCTGGGCTTGAGCATTTCTTATGTGTGACACTTTAGAAACTTAAGGACAAAAGGGTGTCGGCTCCCAGTCCCTTGGGGTGAACCAGAATGAGTAAGGACTAAGAGGAACGTGCAAGGCAGGGCAGGCATGGGTGGAGGTGGATGCCTGCAGGGCAGCATGACCAACTGCAGTGAAGCACAGAATGTTCCTGTGGCTCAGTCAATAGTAATTGACCACAGGTCTGGTGAAGTCTTCAGTGGGCCTGGAGGGAGGGGCTTGGCTGGGACAGCAGGGACTCTTGTCACCTGGTGAACCTCATGGAAGGAGTGAATGGCTGTCACACAGGCTCCGAGATGCTGCTTCGGGATGAGACTTCGAGGAGGCAGTCTGTTGGGGCCTGCCTGGCTTGTCAGGGGCCTGAGCCTGGAATGAACGAATAGGAGGGTGGCACTAACTTGGGCTTCCAGCTATCAGACTGGTGGTCGGTGGAGCCCGCTAACTGCAGCAGCACTGTGGGCTAGATTTGGGACTTCCAGATCCCGGGGAGCAGGGCTCTGAATCCCCAGGATATACCCCAGGGAAGGGCTCTGGGACTCCAGTCTGCCCCGGGGGTGGGTCTGAAGGGGTTCAGGCTTTACTGAAGAACAGGGTTCTGATCCCATGGGCTGTTCCTGGGCAGAGGGCTCCCTCCTGTGCGGGCCTGAGCCACCTCAGACCCCGTTCAGTGTAAGACTGTGGTGCCACACTCTTCTGGAAGGCTGGACTTTGGTGACTCGAAGTGCTGTAATAGCCCGAGAAAGTAGGAGAAGCCCTAGGTGTATGCCCTCAGCCAACAGGGCCCATAGTTTAACTACATCATAGAGGCCTCTCTCTGGAGGGGCGGGTGCACATTGGCTACAGGACACTGCATCTTCACCACCTGGAGTTTGGGAGCTTGGCTGGACTGGGGTCTGGAAGGACTTGCCACAGGTTTCTCGGGTACATCCTGAAACCTCAAATAGGTTTGAAAAGTTTGAAAAGTTTGGGAGTGCTGCTTGAATTTGCAAAAACACTGTGGGCATAACTTATCTCTCAGAGATTTTCCATTTTTCACGTGCTGGCTCATTGTGCTGCTTTTCCAGATACAGGGTACCCAGATAAATTTGCATTTCAGATGAACAACTTTTTCTAAAAGAATGTCCCATAAAATATTTTCATTTGTATGCCATCTGAACATTAGTAGGTCTTAGTACTGAAAAATTCATTTTTCTAAAATTCAAATGTAACAGAGCATTATATAGTGTATCTGAGAACTCTGCTTTGGGGGATGAAGACACACTCCAATGCATGCTACAACTCAACATCTCAGGTGGAAGCCAAGATAGAAAAACACTAAACCCTCACTAGTTAGGGTTTGACATGCATCCGGTCAGGACATCAATAATGTCCCCTAAAATGCAGAAAGGAAAAGTGGAGCTTTGAACTCAGAATTCGCTCTGTTCAGTAAAAATGGATAAAGACTGATACTCTGTCTCTCAGCAGCATTTGGGTCATGTCAGAGGTGATGGCAAACATTTTACCATGGGCCCTTGTCTCATTTTCACAGCCAACTGGTTTCTCACCCTTCTCCCCCTCTAGCCACCCAATCTTCCACATTGACCTTGCCCCCAGCACATGGTGGTTTTCTCCAGTCATGGTCAATGGCTCTCTGGGAGGCCTGGGGATAAACATGCCCTGTATGACACAGCTTCTGTGAAACTTTACACACTGCTTTGGTTGGCTCTGATCCAAAAGCAGAGGCCACCGCACTCAAGCTCGCCCTTGGTCCTTGTGGTCATTATGTGTGCCAAGCTTGCTCGCATTCCCTCGCACGCCCTAATCTCTTCCTCTCTCTATGGTTCCATCAAGACTAAAGCAGTCATTCTTCCCTCATATCTGTTATTTTGGTAAAGTGAGCTCATGAAAGTGCTCCATCATCAAATGATACTACAGCCTCTTATCATCAGAAGTAAATTTATCTTCCTGTCCTGAATGTAATTTTCACGGACCATTTTGCAGTGAAGATGCCAAAGAAGCAACATCTTCTTACTGATAATGGGAATAGAGCAAGGTGGTCGCTTCTGTGTAGTAGCTAGGATGACATGTAGCCAGCTGCTAATACACTTAGCAAACCCCTTTCCTTACCAAGCTTCAGAAATGATTCAGATTGATAGCACATCTCTAAAAGTATGGAAATATCTCCCTATAATCTTAGCCACAATAGTGTGTGACACAAAAGGATAAAGGAAATAAAAGGATTGTCCTCCAATGGGAAATCTCTTTCACTTCCCTTTCCTGTGCCTTTGCTTCATCTGTCTGATACTCCTTCGTTCTTCCTATTTTAACGTACTCGGGTGAACGCACCCCTCCATAGTGGGAGCAGGGTGTCAGGTGAGCAGAGTCATAAGTCATCACAAATGCTAACAGCCTAAAGCAATTCACAAAATTAAGATGACCTGAGTAGAGTAAGTTGTACTTCCATGAAGTGATGGACATGAACTAGAACTGGCGAGAAAAGGTGAACTCAAGGGGGCTTCATTTACCTGTACTGTGACCATGTCCGTGGGAGTTCCATGATGTCTGGAGTGACCAGATAATTCTTCAGCTCGAAATTTGTACTTATGCCTCAAAATTATCCCTTGTAAAACTCATCCTTTGGCCACCATGCTCATTTAACTTGGCTGGGGATACCAGAA